GGCTTATTCGCTATGCTGAATCCGAAAATCCACACAGGAAAGCGCGAAAACGCCGAAAAAGGGCTTTAACACAGGAGGGAAATCAGAAGTGGGTGGAGTCTTCCCCAGTGTGGATTCAAGGTACTAGCAGAAGATCTCAATTCCGTTTGCACTTGGCCGCCTCCAGCCGGCCAAGTGCAAACGCGTGACTTGAAATCGGATCCGAGAGGATCGCTCCAGAAGCTGGGACCGTGAATTCACAGTGGGGGAAAACCCCACCCTCTGCTGAATTCCCTCCTGTGTTAGAGCTCTTTTTCGCCGTTTTTGCGCTCTCCAGTGTGATTTTCGGATTCAGTATAGCGAATAGGTCCGGGTAAACACAAAAACTCAAAATCGACTTTTTGCCCGGAAACTGCCTTCAAGGGTAGGTATGTAATATGGATAAATACGTGAAAAGTAACGTAAAAAAGATCACTCTTTCGCTATATCAAGCGCAAGTTGAATGTGAAATATGAAAACTTTTTTGCTTTCGCTTTCACACAAAAGATTTTGATCGCACATCAAAGTGTCATAACATTCATTGTATTACGGTCATACCTGTGCTGTTTCGTGATCTTCCGACGCAAAATGAGCATCACTTGCTTCTTTTGAATGTAGATCGACTTCGCATACGTCGCACCTAAATGAATATATATTACAAATTATTGTTGTTAATAAAATGGGTGTTTTATGTTACCTCCTGACAAACTCCACGACTTCAGAAGGAGGCAGTAATTCTACAGTGCTTGGACATAATGGATCTACTGGACGAGCTCTCATGACAACTGCAAAGGGAAGAAATCCACGACCTTATACCGAACTGCAAATTGAAAGCAATAAGTTTACCTGAGTCACAACTTTGCATGGCTTTCACAACACCAACACACGAAACACTCAAAACTTGTGAGTCGCTGAGGGTAAGATGTATGGAAGCGTTCTTCGCAGCAGAATCCAGCAAAAGACTAGCGCTCAGACTTACGGTAGTGTCCACCTTGATGAAAACGGTTTGAAAAATCTTCCAATAGTAAGTGTAAAAAAGAAAAACAGGAACAAGTATACCTTTGACCGGATAGATTTTGGCTTCGTCTTTGAAAAGCTGACAGAGTACTCATTATGAGCTATGCGTCTTGCTGTGATAAAAAGCTCGACATCAGGTTGTGGCGGTAGGTGAGCGGTTTTCGCCTGAATGGGTAGGAAACCAGTCATAGAAACTAAGTAATTTCGAGTATTGGCAGGCCTACCACCGGTCCAAACGCAGATCCCTCAGATCTTTTGATTGCTGTGGGTGGAAGTTTGCTAATTTCGGCAACTGTCTCCTCGAATTGTTTAGAATGGGTGACTTCTGTGTTCTCCTGCTAGAGTGATACAAGTGATTTATCACTCAGAAATCTCTAACATGAATCTTTCAGTCAGCATACCGCAACAGCAGAAGGTGC